GGCTGCGAGGAAACCATCGAGGCCACCGTGCGCAAACGGAGACTGTGTTTCGCGGGCTTTGTTATGCGCATGGAGGACAACCGATTCCCCAAGCGCATGCTGTTAGGAGTGATGGCGGGGGGCGTGGGATACCGGGGCGGGCAGGAGAGCGACTGGGTGTCTCGTCTAGGAGAGGACCCCGTGGCCTTCAACATGGGAGACGAAAAGGAAGGGGGGAAATGGAAAGAGAGCGCCAAGGACCCGGAGGTGTGGTACAACAAGGTCGAGGACGGGGCGGCATGGTTCATGAGGAAATGGCACAGGCAGGAGGCGGAAGCGTCCGCGAAGCGCCAGCGCGCGAGGGAAGCAGAAGCAGAGAGTACGGCCATCTCGGGACCGAAGTGAAAGAGAGCCGGGGAAGCGGCGGTGGGGGGGAAGAAACGGCGACCGGGCACTGCTGTAGAAGCGAGTAGGGCGGCCGAGGCAGCACGTGTGGCGAACTATGTACCCGGCTGATGTTGTTGCGCCCTGTTTCCCTCCCTGCTGTATGCTATACTCCTTTATGTATGTCCTTTGTATGGCCTTCGGCCTCTGCTGTTTTTCTTTTTTTCATGACCTTCCTGCCTACTCTGGTACCTTGATCTCGCTTCGCTGTTGCCCTTGTTTTTGTACGTCTGGCTGTGCCCATCTGCCGCCTCTTTTGTCCTGTTTGCTCCGTTACTCCCATGCCCTGGTGCGTAGTGCCTGGTGCTGGTACGTTACCCTTTGATTTTTTCTTTGGGCCGGTGTGGGAAGCGTCCTCCTTTACTTTTGTTTTTGTTTTATTTTGATCGGTTTCCGAGGGCTCTTTTCTTGAACGGTCGGTGTGATACCTGTTCTTTTCTTTGTTTCATTATGTTTTTTTTTTCGAGTGGTTTGTACCCTATTTTTGTTTTGTTTTCCCGCGGCGTCGTATGTGCCGGAATTTGAGACCACGGGCTCCCCATTTTTTTGTGGACTATAGAGATAATGTGAGAAACAACAACAACAACAACAACAACACCTTACTGACCAACAGACCTAACGGGGAGGACAGATTCCCTCCGACCACGTTATTATCTCAATCGATTTTAGACTAAAGAACGAATATGTTGCCTATCCGAACTCCTGCTGAAGAGCTGTGTGTTGGCAACGAGGAAATTGTGGAGATCTTCCAACGTCTGTCGAGCACGATTCCTTCTTGTATCACACAATTATTCAAAATATCTCGTGTGAAGTATGCAAAACCAAGATTAGCCGCACGTAAAGGCAGAGCGGTTTACTTACAAAAGAAACGTCGAAATTCTATGTATAGTCAAACCGTTAGTCAAGACAGGCCATTGTCCGATTCTAGATCCAAGTTTGCCAGGAATTTCCAGGTTTGACTTTGGTTATCTTGTCATGATACAGTGCCGGCCCGCACTTAAGAATATGGCACTTAAGAATTTGATGCTCAAAAAATCCAAAACTTAAGAATTTATTTACCGATAAGAACACGTGCTCAGCTGCACGCCCTGTTAGGAACAAGAACACACACCTGAGGTGCAAAACTGCTGCTACAAATAAGAACGACAGCAATGCAGCGGCTGCCAGATAAGAATACTCGCAGGGAGAGGGAGGGAAGAGGGGGGAGTGATCCCAGAGTATAGAGTATTGGGTTTGGGAGGGGTACATACCCCTATCAACATTTGTTTTTTTTTAGAGGGGGAGGGTGGGCATGGTGCGCACGCGTCGTGCCCCTGGGTGCCCCCGAGAAAAGCGTGATGCGCGGGCGGGGTGAGCTCCCCAAGGCGAGGTCCATTCTTATCATGGACAACTTGCACGCGCAGACCACGGACGATTCAAGGAGTATCTTGCGAAGCACTGCAACACTCTCGCCTGGTATGGCCCTTCGGAGTGCACGGACGAGGTGCAGCCAGTTGATGCAGGAGCCGGACGATTTCTCAAGTTGGAAGTCGGGAGGCAGATGGACATATGGCTCGAGCAGTCGGACAACCTCGAGAGGTGGGAAACCGCGTCGCTGACAGCTTCTGATCGGCGCGTCCTGATCACTCCATTGATGGGAGCGGCCATGGCAAGACTCAACAGCCAACAGGCCTACCGATACCGTCGTTTCGAAAAGTGCGGGATGGCCATGACCGTGGACGGCTCGGGCGATGATCGAATCAGCTTGGAGGGTTTGGACAAGCCGTATACCTTCGCTAACGATGAAGACAGTCGCGACGACGAACAAGGTTCGGAGAACGGCAACGATGAGCCTGAGGGGCGGGCGGAGGAGGGCGATGGAGGACGTGAGACGCTCA